AAATTACAATTTTAGGGTCCTTAATGAGCCTATGTTGTATCGTGAAATCCCAGATAAAACACAGAAAGAAAACAAGGAAAAACACATGCAAGTGCAGACATGCAACATGATGTAAAGAATAAAGCAAACCAAGTTAAAATAATAAATAGATCGGTGTCGCTGGGTCGGCAACATATCCCAGAAAAGAAAAAGGGCGGCCGGACTCCGCATATACATGCCCGGTCCTAATTCTATACATCAATATAAAAAGCAGAATTAAGATACGGGGCACGAGCATATGCTCCTAGTCCCCTCCACGTGGTTCCCATGCTAACTTCTTGGAACCCGTGCTCGTATCTTATTTCTGCTACAAGACTCTCATAGACTTTAAAAGTACATAGAGCAAAGAAATGCATGGAAACAAGTGTCAGCGGGAAAATCACATGCACATAACGTATCATGAGTCATGCCTTAAAAGTGGGGGAAGCTAATAGCACCTGCAAGCAAAAGGGTTAGAAATCATTACTTGCTCCCCCCATAGCGGTACCTGTGTGTATGTATAAAAATAGGCATGACTCCCTGCAGAAGAACGCCCTAACATACTACCACACATATGCAACATGCAATCACATCACAAGCATAATGCAAAAGAAAGATACCTGGCTAGGGCAACCAAACCAACAGAGAACAATAGTCAGACATCAAAAAGACCATCTAGCACCCTAAATCCTAGCCTAGCATACCATCTACCGAGAAAGTGCATCGACCTAATATACAAGTGAGGGGTAAGTCTGAGTATAGTATGACTTTGACGGGGCCCTTCATACCGGCCTCATCCTAAAGATCTGAAGGATCTAAAGGGTGTCACAAAGAGCGGTGACGCAAGTTAGATCTATTAGATCTTTAGCACAGTCATACTCATGTCAATCCCGATGACTTGACTCGCATTGCTCAATGGGATCAACCCAGGAAGCAATGCTCGTTAAGGCATCGCGACCAACACGGGATCACTCTCCTAACGAACCTGGCTCGCTATCCATACAA